TATATATATATATAATTATTATTACAAGGTGAGAGCCATTTCAGACAAAAGGGGGAAAAAAGGAGTCAGGTAAGAGTTTTCAGAGAGCTTGCATGGTGAAAAGAGTTTCGCAATCAGCTGCTAACCCCAAAGTGTGAAGGCATCCAGATATACTACAGAAGAAACGGCTTCCATAACAATGTCAGTCAAGACCAACCCAGGAAGCCATTCTGCCCTGAGCATGCTGGCTGACCCTCGAGGCAGGGGTCAGCTCAACTGCAGCTTGAAATAACAAGTGTTTTCAGTCATGAGGAGGCGATGAGGTTAGGCATTAGCATGGGTTTCATATTCAGCAGGATAGCCTGAGTAGGCTTTGTTGAGAAGGGAGTTTATAAGTAAAAGAGTTGAGGGAATGGGCTGTGCAGAGATCCAGAGGAAATGGGTTCTGAGTAGAAAAAAAGATGCCCATGTCAAGATCCTAAGATGGAACATTCTAGAATCGTTCAAACACACAAATGAGACCTGATGCTCTGGAACAGCATAAGCAAAGGCAGAAGAGTGGGTATGGGACTGGGTGGTGCACATGATACAGAGCTTTGTCGCCCTTTGGTGAGCCATTGTAGAAGTTTGAACAGAACACGGCAGTAAGGGACTTCCAGAGCACAGGTACTTTGCATAATGATGTAGGCAAAGAACATCGAAAGAATCATGGACTACCAAGGGAACAACAACAACAACATCCAGCCAGAATGCTCTCTATACAATGGAAGGATGAGGAGACTTCATCCCTCTCTCTCTTTTTAAAATCATTTTGTTAGGGGTTCATACAACTCTTATCACAATCCATACATACATCAATTGTGTAAAGCATATTTGTACATTCATTGCCCTCATCATTCTCAAAACATTTGCTCTCCACTTAAGCCCCTGGCATCATCTCCTCATTTTCCTCCCTCACTCCTCACCCCACCTCCCTCATGAGCCCGTGATAATTTATAAATTATTATTTTGTCATATCTTACACTATCCAATGTCTCCCTTCACCCACTTTTCTGTTGTCCATCCCCCAGAGAGGAGGTTTTATGTAGATCCTTGTAATTAGTTCACCCTTTCTACCCCACTCTCCCTCCACCGTCCTGGTATCACCACTCTAACTACTCCCTGTGTTTCCAGTTCCTATCTGTACCAGTGTACAACCTCTGGTCTAGCCAGACTTGTAAGGTAGAATTCGGATCATGATAGTGTGTGTGTGGGGATGAGGGTAGGAAACATTTAGGAACTAGAGGAAAGTTATATGTTTCATCATTGCTACACTGCTCCCTGACTGGCTCGTCTCCTCCCCACGACCCTTCCTTAAGGGGATGTCCAATTGCCTACAGATGGGCTTTGGGTCTCTACTCCACACTCCCCCTCATTCACAATGATATGATTTTTGGTTCTGATGATGCCTGATACCTGATCCCTTCGACACCTCCTGATTCCACAGACTTCATCTCATGTACTTTGGACATGTTATCACATGTTATACATGTTATCAGGGGGGACCACTCCCTGGAGAAGTCATCATGCTTCGGACAGTAGGAGGTCAGTGAAAAAGACGGAGTTTCCCCGTGAAATGGATGGACACCTGGGCTGTAACAATGGGTTCGAACAAAACAACAATTGTGAGGCTGTTGTAGACGGGGCCATGTTTCATTCTGTTGTCCCTCGGGGCACTATAATTTGGAACTGATTCAACAGCACCTAACAACTATATCATCAAGGTGTTTGGGAAGGTGGAGGATTTGAACTTGGGTGTTATCAGTGCCTGGTGATGAAACGTATAGTAATTCATCAGATATCTGCCTCCATGAACCTCACTTTTCAGTCAAATGAAATGTCAGTATCGATCTCTTTTAATGTCGGCTTCTGGCCTTTGCCCCTTACTCATTGTTTAAGTTAGAATTCTAGAACGACTGCTCCAGTTCACTCTAGAAGATTCCTGGTTATGTTAGCCTAAGAATGCAAGGGAGTTTTACCAACAAGATGCTCAGCTCATGCTTTAAAGTGTGCATTGCTTCTCATTTGCACATCATTTCTAGATACTAAAATCCCCTTATGACTTATCTAAGTTGTCACAGGAAATAGAAAGATGTATGTGATACAGAAAAGGGAAGCAAGCATTAGCAAAAGAGACTACCACACTCAAAAACAAAGACCACATCTCTACAGAATTTGTAGCTGGAGTATTTGGGCAACCATGTGCATGTGGTTCTTTGTTGCTTCTTCCAGAGCTGGCCCAATTGCATGAAGCAAACCTGGAACAGATAGTACGATCTATGTCTTTTATGGTCTCAGTTTCTCAGCTGGGCCGCTTGGAGGACGGAGAATGTGTTTTTTCTTTTGTCTCTGTTTCATGCCCACCTAAGTATACTGACTTAAAAGCCTCTCAGTGAATATGTGTTGACTGTGGTGAGAACACTGACTTAAGAAGGGAAAACAAAACTCAGAGTCAACTGCCTCCGAGTTGCTTCGTGTGGGTAGTCTGTATAGATGTGCCCACAAGCCCGAGCATTCATCTGCTTATCCCCTTTGCTATTTAATCACCGAGTGGGGCTTCCAGATAAGAAATAGAAATGTGATTCATTGCCTAACAGGAGCACATGTAACTCTTTCACAAAAGAATTGTTTTGCTGAATAAATTCAACTGTAAATAAATGGGTTGAAGGATTATGACTCTTCACCGAATGGCACAGGTTTTTGAATGTTGTCAGCGTTTGGAGACAATTAGAAGAGGGAGCTTTGTTTAATAACAAATGGATAAAGACTCAGAATTCCAGTGTATATGGAGAAGGTAATTCAACCCTTGTTTCAGGTAAAGAATCACGGAGTTATGGCAACGGGGAAACCCCGAGCCTGATTGAAAGAACCCTTGGGAGTGAAGGAGTTAACTGAGTGTGTCAGCTTTATCTTTTGTCCCATGGACTAGTGGTTTGCCGATTAAAGTCTCCGGTAAATGATTGTTAGACTTGCCGTTGATAGCCGTGTGTGTGCTGCATTTCAAAAGTCCATTGATTCTTCTGGAAGGCTGTGCAGCATCTTTGAGCCCTTTACTCCTTTGGGATCTTCTCGGGTCTGTTGACAGAAGGATCCATCTGATTACCCAACATGAGTGACAAAGACTACGACAGCATCTATGACACAATCCAAAAAGAGGTCGTGTATGAGGATCCAGAAGAGCAGAAAGAAAATGAAGGACCCCTCTATGATGACATCCAGAAAGACGTGGAGCCTGAACACAACTTCTATGAAAACCAGCTGGACTCGTCTGAGTATGCCATTGTGTCTGACTACGCCACTGGGGAGGAGGAGAGCAGCCTATATGCCCGGTCAGGAGCAGAGGGCTACCTCCTGCCAGATGAGGTGCAGCCTGAGGACCAGGAGCCTGAACCAGATGAGCCCCAGGAGGACAGAGGCGACTCGATGGACGAATTGCATCCCCCCTCCCAGGCCCGGGCCCTCTTCTCAGCGGAGCTCCACTTGGAGGATTCCCAGGAGAACGGGTACATGATGGCAGAAGACCTTCCCTCTTCTTCCAGCTTCACCGTCCAGCAGAGCAAAGCCTTCTCCATCAGCACGGATTCCCCAGCTGGATATTCCGGTGCTAATGATTCAGAAGACACCGATGCCTCTTTCATGAACCCCGAGATTATTCTCTTTGTGAAGGTAAGAAAGCACAACTGCGCAGGCAGATGGCCATTTGGGGGTTCTATTTTGTCCTGTGTGTTCAGGAAGAGGTGTCCAGTGTCATGGTCCCTGCACCTTAATCCATATACAAGAGTAAGACTGACTCAATGGATCGTTCCAGCGTTAAGCCAGGACTTCTCGAAATACGAATCAGGAAGTACATATAAGTACATATAACAAATATGAATTAGGAAGTACATAAGTGTATGTTTAATGATTGACTTTTATATGCCATGGACAAAGCATTTTTTGAGTTCCCAATGAGTACACAGAAATGGCTGCTCCAATGCTTGCCTTTGTGACAGAAGGCGAGCGTGTGTTCCTGTGTGGTTAGATTTCCTTGGTTGACATGGTTTTTAAACACATGACCCAGCCATGAGGGAAAGTAAAATCTATAGTCAAGGCACTAGAGTTTCCTTCTTACATTCCTAAGGTCATAGATCCTTCAGATATCTGGTCAATAAATGTTGCTGTTGACACCGAGTTTGCCCTTTTGCCACCAATATAAGTAAAGTATTCCATCATGTGAAAGGATTTCAGTAGTAGCAAGAACGATACTTAAAAGGTTAATATTTAATACCTATGATGTTTAAACAGAGACCTTTGGTGATCTTTGTATTAGACTGTGCTACTATAATAAAGATTAGAGTTCTACATATTATCAAAATATAAAATAATGCAGAGATACTTTGTCATCAGGATGACAGAATCTTTTTGCTCTCAGTTTTTATATTTTGGTTATATATAACCCAACTTCCCACTCTCTCATAATATTTCTGTTTTCCAATGTGTGGGTAGATGTCAATGAGTAGATTCCACTATTTCTGGCTAACAAAAACTAATTATTCTGTAGATTCAGAAAAATCCCAGTCCACTCTTGTCTCTCTCTTTCCCTGCTCCCCCAATATTTTATTTCATTTTCTACATTATCATTTGCTATGTTGAACTCTTCTCAGTTTTCGTGTGTAAATGTAGTTTTTCCACTAAAAGCTTCTTGAGCACAGTGCCTGGAATAGTAGTTGGCTTACACGTATGCCGTCGCCAAACCTTGCGTGGCATCGTATTGAGCATCGGGGATGGAGAGGAACGGGCAAGGCACTGTCCCTGTTCTCAAGAAGGCAGCAGCATGGTGCAGGAGACCCGCTTGCACGTGGTTAACTACTCTACTCCACAATCAGAGGGAAGAGAAAGGGGTGTGCAGAGTGCCATGCGCACACAAGGAGGAGGTGCCTCTGTGTACATGGGGGCGTTAGCAAAGGCTCCACAGAAAGGGGCCTCAGCACAGTGCATCGGATGCCCAGCCTCCATCACTGGCATCAACGTGCCGCACTGTTTGCAGTCTATATCGTACAATGAATGAAGACTCAGAGTAAGTTTTACAAGCCTTTAGATTCTGAATTAGGGGAAGATGACTGAGCAGAGCAGATCTTCAGTTTCTCATTCAACCTTTGTTGTCTTCCCGTCTCCATCATTCGTGGCCCATCGCCCTCTTGTTGCATATTCTCTTCCCCGGCACCTGAGTTAGCACCTACCGACCCTCGAAACTTTGGCTGCCCTCCTCTCCCTTGCGCCCCACCCTGGTAGCCATCAAAGTCCATCAAAGCCATCAAAGTTTTAGTGTGAAAGCCTTTTATTCACTTTTTATTAACAGTGGTCTCAGAATAACTTTTGGAGGGCATAAGCATCCTCGTAACTTCATGTAATAGGAAAGTTGGGTCATCCTCCTCTTCATCATCATCAGCAGCATCTTTGGCACCTGGAGACTTGTAAACTGGAAAATTGTTGATCTTGCCAGAAATTAGCTCACTGATGTTAACCCAAACAAGAATGCTAGAGAAGTTGACCTCGGCTGGTGCCAGCAATAGAGAAACCGGTTGAAGGAACTGTGGTCTCTGAATTATTTACAACTCGTAGCTCTCCAAAGCGAATATTGGACTTCATGAAGTCTTTGAAGTTTACTCCCTTTTAAATATCATATGGTAACCAAAAGGCCACTGAAGGTAGCACCGACCTCTGCTCCTATGTGTGGTTGCTTTTTAAATGATAGCCAGCAGTGCTCTGTCAGAAGGGCAGTAGGTATGGCCTATTTCCCAGCCCCTCCACTCTTTACCGCCATCGGAGTTCTTTATTCAGCGTTGAATGGAAGTGTAACGTATTCGAATGGGGAAACGGGAGCTGCTTGGCTTGCAGTCGGAGTGGAGTGGAGAATGTGAGTGGCGCCTATGCAGGCTCCTATCTTCTCCCGGCACCAGGCAGAAGATGCCGAGAGCACAGCAGCGGGCAGGGTATGGTTATACATTACAGCTCATCATCTTCTGACGAGGGCTGGACACTGAGCAGTCTGGGGTCCTTCTCCTGGACTGAGTCCACGGAGACCACCTGGGAGGTTTGTGTACGTTCCCATCTATTCCAGATGAGTCTGTGAACGTGTCGCACAGTCTGTAACCATATATGGAACCAACGCTTTATTGAGGCTCAGCCATTTCTGAGTGTTGGCCAATTACTCAGTTCATTAAAATCTAGCACTCATTTATTTTATTTAACAGGTAGTTGCCAGGCATTGGGTTTACAATGATGGAGAGACAGTCCTGGCTCTCAGGGACTTTGCCTCTAGTGTCAGAGATGCTGAAGGACAAATAAATCATATAATATATGCCTTATTTATATATAGACTGGTATACATATATTATAGACTAAAATGAAATTTAAAACGGGTTTATCAGTAATTAATTTCTTATTATTACTGGAGCAGATCATCACAAACTTAGTGGCTTAGACCAGCACACATTTATTCACTTAGAGTTCAGAACTCGGAAGTGAGTATTGTGGTATCGGTAGGGCTGGCTCCTTGTGGAGGTTGTAGGGAAGAGACCTTTCCTATGCCCCTTTCATTGTGTCGCGGTTGTCCTCATCCTCCACGTATGGTCCCACATCTCATGGCCTCCTCTCCTTGCTTGCCGTCCTCTCCTGACTCTGACTCCCGCATCCCTCTTTGAAGGACCCTTCCGATTGACACAGACTCCACCTGGGGAGCCCTGGATAATCTATTCATCTCAGACCCCCGAACTTAGTCCTATCTATAGAGTGTTTGGGGCCATAGAAAGTCACACTCACAGGTTAGGACAAGGGCATATTTTGGGTCCAGTATTCAGCTGGTGTCTCTGAATAGGGGAGTGAGGGGCAGTGTGGCTGGAGAGGCGTGAGTGATGGAGGGTGTTAGGAGAGGTAGCCAAAGAAAGGAAGGCAGGGTAGGTCAGGCCTGATCTTGAGCACCACAGGAAGAATTTTCTCTTTTGCTCAGAGTGATGTGGTGAGTCACAGAAGAGGAGACTCGAGAAGGTCATTCTAGCTGCCTCTTTGAGAAAAGACTAAGGGGTGCGGGGAGTGGAAGCAGAGAGAAAGGTCGTTGGTGGGTGTGGGGGGCAACGAAAGCACTGCAGGTCAGAGACGACGACAAATTGGTCGACAGTGACAGTGGTGGAAGCGGTGAGGCTTAGGCTTGGATTGGTTTGAAGAGAGAGCCCGAGGAATTTGCTGACGAAATTGAGGGGGGATGCATACAGAGCAAAGGGCCGTGGTTGACTACAGAAGTTCTGGCCTGAGCTGCTGGGTGACTGGGGGTGCCTTTTCCATTTCCGAGGTGGACGGACCCTTCTCAGGGAATGTAAACATCGGCTTTGATGGTACTTGGCTGTGAAATGTTTCTGCATGCAAGATTCCTCATCTCTAAAGAAATCCTTTCAGGCTCTTACCGTCTTTGAAAGCTTGTTCCTTGGAGAGTGTGTGTTGCCATGGCCTGTAGAACTTCTCTGATTACGGGGGTCACCCAGGGGCCCCCAAAGCGGGCAGCACAGGCACAGAGGGTACTTGAACAAATTTAGGAGGGTGTCCCTCACGGACAATGGGAATGGTGTCTCTCCCTGAAGTCAGGCAACAAAGCAGCCTTGGTGAAAACTCCTTAGACTCAGAGTGAGACTTGGGTCTTTATTCTAACACTGAGGTTGGCAAACTTGAGAGACGGAAGAGCCAATCCTTCCCTCACAACCATTTAAAAACTACTCGGGAGTCATAAATATGTTTTATCTGAATGATATCCTTTAAATGAAACTATGATAGTTTTATTTTCATTTTCCATTTGACTTCAGAGCCACCTGTACATACTGAAAGAGCCGCATACAGCTCAGGAACCGCAGTTTACCGACCCCTGTTCTAAAGGGGTGGGTGTCCTAAACCAGGGGTCCTCAAACTACTGCCCGCAGGCAACATGCTGCTGGCTGAGGACATTTATCTGGCCCGGCGGGTGTTTTTGCCCCATTTTGTTTTTTTACTTCAAAATAAGATATGTGCAGTGTACTTTGCAGTGTGCATAGGAATTTGTTCTAATTTTTTTTTTTTAAACTATAGTCCGGCCCTCCAACAAGGCTGAGGGACAGTGAACTGGCCCCTGTTTAAAAAGTTTGAGGACCCCTGTCCTAAACGTTGGTTCAGTGTTTCACAAAATGGTTCAGGGGCTAGAAAATTCAGTACCACCGGAGAGCTCATTAGAAATGCAAATTCTCTGGCTCTCCTCCAGTCTTAGTGGCTCAGAAACTCTGGGAGTGGGGCCGTGCAGTCTGTGTTTTAACACATCCCACAGGAGATTCTGGTACAAGTTCGATGCATGCTGCATCTGAGGTTAGGTCATCCATCCTCAGGTCTTCCCAAGTACTCAGATACTCTTCATTTCCAAGGCTAGAGTGGTAGTGTACCCAAGGCATTTCTAGGGCTTCCTGTTGGTTTGATTGCCTAAAGCAGTAGCTTGGGGATTCTAGGGATGTCTAGGTAGATTATGTAGGTGAAGAGCATCCCTTCATTGCTGAACAGGGTCCAGAATTTGGTCCATAGTACCCGTAGCTACCTACCATTTGATGTTTTGGCAGTGCTGATAAAACTTCCATCCAGCACCAGACTCTGTTAGCCTATCACGTCTTCTTGATGCA